AGAAGAGCTTAAACAGAGATTTCTGGAAATAATAAGTAGAAAAAGTAATATGAGCTGGCTAGCAAGAGCACAAAATGTTAATAGGTACATAGATGATACTCTGTAGTTGGTGGATCTTTTTGATTAATTTTCACGGCATAAGGGGTTTGTTTGATCGCTAAAAGAGTTCGAATTAGTGACTTCAATTTTATTTGAAATTTTTGTACAGGGCTTGTACAACTACCACAATTTGAATGATTTACTGGGTGATGGGATTTTCACTGTTGATGGCGAGAAATGGCGTGAGCAAAGGAAGATCGCAAGTCATGAATTCTCCACCAAGATGTTAAGGGACTTAAGCATTTTAATATTCAGAAAGAATGCAGCAAAACTTGCAAACATAGTGTCTGAAGCTGCAACTTCTAATGATACATTGGAAATCCAAGTGGGTAGTAAATATATCTTCTGAAAGATACTATCATATTTTGCCTTCTTCCATCTATTTGGTTTGCATGTTAACTTGCTTCAATAATTTCTATAGGACCTTTTAATGAAATCAACACTGGATTCAATTTTCCAAGTTGCATTTGGAACTGAACTTGACAGCATGTGTGGATCAAGTCAAGAAGGGAAGATTTTTGCTGATGCTTTTGATACTTCAAGTGCACTAGCCCTTTATCGTTATGTTGATGTCTTCTGGAAGATAAAGAAATTTCTGAATATTGGATCGGAGGCCAAATTAAGAAAGACTACTAAAATTTTAAATGAATTTGTTTTTAAGCTAATCAACAATAGAATTCAGCAAATGCAGATTTCAAAGGGAGGTTCTGAGGTAAGTCTATTACATACAAACTGTATTTATATGGATATATAAGATGTCAGTGTAGGTGCTAATCTTGACATACATTCAAAATGGACAGTCGAGACTAAACTTATGTAAAACAATCTCAACCGTTTATGTATGATTGTATGACTAAGATCAACTCCTCCAACCTCTCACTAGATTTGCCAACAATATGTAATGCATTTTTCATTTTGCGTATTTAGAGGAAGCAAGGGGATATTCTGTCAAGGTTTCTGCAAGTGAAGGGATATGATTCAACATACTTGAGAGATATAATTCTAAACTTTGTTATTGCTGGGAAAGACACAACGGCTGCCACACTTGCTTGGTTCATGTACATGCTTTGTAAGTATCCTGCAGTTCAAGAAAAAGCAGCAGAAGAAGTGAACGAAGCAACAGAAACCAAAAAAATTAGTAGCTATACTGATTTTGTTTCTAGTGTCACGGATGAAGCTCTTGAAAAGATGAACTATCTCCATGCAGCAATTACTGAAACCCTCAGACTTTATCCTGCAGTTCCTGTGGTAAGGTTAATTTTGAAGTTGTCCTCATCTTCACTGGATGCAGTAGGAATAAATTTTGTCCTCTGTTCCTGCTTGTGTAATTAGTTAGAATTAAAGACATCACTTAAGGTGACATGACCTAGGGTCTATTTGATTTTCTTCTCACTTTTTTGTTTTTAAAAAATATTTTCTAAAGCACTTTCACACTATTCAACAATCAACTTCTCATGTAAAGTTTATGAAGTTTATGAAGTTTTGAAAATTATTACCAAGATTTCTGTTTTAAAAACCTGAAGACAGAAACAGTTGAGAGATATTTCCTCATCTTCTATTTTGTGGTCCTACCTCAAGGGTGTGAATCATTTGGAGTAGGGTTGCATGTGTTGAGGCATGTGTGACAGTGTGATTGTTTTCTTTATTTTTTCAAAACTAAACAACTTTTGAAAATAGAAATCAAACACATGTTCTAAATTTGATATATATAGTGCAAGATAAGGCTTTTAGATTCTCTCTCACTAAAATAATGCTCTCATTAGATATATCTTTTATTGTTGGGATACAAACAAGTCTCACATCAATAAAATAAGAGAAAAAATAACTTATAAAGCATACATATACTCCAATGTTAGAGAGACCTTTTGGGTAATGGCCAAAAGCAAAACCGTGAGGGCTTAGGTCCAAAGCGGACAATATCTCATCATTGTGGAGTTGTGTGTGTAATAACCTTATAAAATAACCTTCATAAAATATTCCCTCAGACAAATACCATAAAATAACCCCATCTCTAGTATCAGAACTGCAAGGTTGGATGCGGTAACAACTTTCATAACTCATAACATATAATGTAATATAAAAAGATAGATTTCGTTGCATGAAAGGTTAGGTCCCATAACCACATCGATAAAATAAGAGAAAAAATAACAACTTATAATGCACACACATACTCCAATGTTAAAGAGGTCTTTTGGGTGATGACCAAAAACAAAACCGTGAGGGTTTAGGTCCAAAGCGGACAATATCTCATCATTGTGGAGTTATGTGTGTAATAACCTTATAAAAATAATTCTCATAAAATATCTTCTAAGACAAATACCATAAAATAACCCCATAATTTATTTTTACTCATATCTCGCCTCTAATATTATTTTTTTGTTATCTTTTCCTCAATCAGTGCTACATTATTCTCTTCTTGTGCTTAATCATTTTGTATCTTGTCTTTTCTCTCCTGTATGCCTCCCATTTATCTTGGCATTTTCATTTTTGCTATTCCCAATTTTCTCTAATGTCCTTTAAAGCCCAACATTCACTACCATATGGCAAAGTAAGACGTATAACAGTATGATAAAACTTGCCTCCGAGATTGATAGGTACTTTGCATGGCGGTTAAAAATAACATCCGATGTCTTTCTCCATTTTATTCATCTTGCTTATATCTTATGTGTGATATCTTCTTTATTTTCCTCATCATATTGTAGTATTGACCTAGATATTTAAACTTAAAAGAAATGAGGTATGGCATCTATTTTTACTTCCACATCTTATTATCGTCGCCTCTTGCTAAAATTACAATTCTTATTATACTATGTCTTTTCCTACATAAGCAAAAATCCTTTGTTTCAAAATTTTGTCTCCAAAGTTCAAGTTCAGAGTTAATTGGTTCGTTGATCCGTCAACTGAAACAATTTCATCTGCAAAAATCATACAATAAGGAATAGCCGTATATATGTCGCTAGTAAACACATCCATGATTAGATAAAACAAGGAAAGGCTTGAGTTTTAGCCCTGATTCTTATAGGGAAATCCTTAATCTCATCTCTTGGAGTTCTCACACTAGTAGTAACTCCCTCATACATGCCTTGTATAGCTCAAAATATAAGTCATGTGAACCCTTTTCTTTTTCAAATTCCTCCACAACACTTTTATTGACACTTGATTATAAACTTTTTTCAAGTCAATAGAAACTATGTCTCTTTTATGACTGCAAAACCTTTTTCTATTATTAACCTACGAAGAAGGTAAATTGTTTCAGTTATACACCTTCCTAGAGTAAAACCAAATTGACTCTCGCCACTGGCTTCCATGTAATTTAAATTCCCAAGATTGATTTATTATTGTTGTACATTTGAAGTGCCTTTAGTTCAATGCATTCCAAGTTTCAGACTCCTTAATTTCATGCAGGATGCAAAGATCTGTTTTTCTGATGATACATTACCAGATGGGTATAGTGTAAATAAAGGAGATATGGTATCTTACCAACCTTATGCAATGGGTCGGATGAAATTTATATGGGGTAATGATGCAGAGGATTTCAGACCAGAAAGATGGCTCGATGAGAATGGCACTTTTAAGCCAGAGAGCTCTTTCAAGTTTACAGCTTTTCAGGTTAGTATTTGCTTGGGAAATTATGCATTTATGTTTATTTATTAGGAATTTGTTAACTTGGCCCAAGGCACATCATGCTAAAGAATTAAGATAATATATAAGCATTTAATAGTGATTTCTTGAGTAACCTTAATTGAATTTTCATTCATCTACAGGCTGGTCCTCGGATATGTCTAGGAAAGGAGTTTGCTTATAGACAGATGAAGATATTCTCAGCAGTTTTGTTAGGCTGTTTTCGTTTCAAATTGAATGATGAGAAGAAAAATGTCACCTACAAGACGATGATTAATCTTCATATTGATGGAGGTCTTGAAATCAAGGCCTTCCACAGATACAGGGATTAGAAGACTTCTAATCCAAGTTCCAGTGAAAAGCAAAGTAGTTTAATAAAAACGAATATCAATAAATGTATTTCAAAATTCAAAGATACGAGTTAATGATAGGTTATCTTTTTCATTCTGTTATTAAAATAATTATTAAGAAGAAAGGTAGATTGGACAAGAAAGTTTCCACCGAAAGGTTCAAAGTAGTTCTATAAAAAGAGAATAAAAATGTATATCAGAATTCCAAGATACGAGTTGTGGATAGGTTATTTTTGTCAACTAAGTTGATAATGTGTTCTATTCTGTGTTATTAAAATAATTATTAAGAAAAAAAGTGGATTGTACTAGAAAGCCTCCTGCAAAATAAATACCAAATAAATACAACTACTTTTGTCTGACATTTTTATGCAATATATACTTCCAACTATCTTATCTCTCTTCCTTTATCACGTCAGTGTCATTTATCTTCCTGACTTGAGTGCTTGAAATGTCTTTTCTAAATACTCCGCCAATTCCAATTCTCCAAGTCATCTTAACTGTGTCAGAGCCTCATCTGACTTAAAAGGAGTTCATACATGTTAGCAACCCTCTTTCAACTAGCAATCCGTATCAAATTCATCAGTAGCTCATACCAGATTTCCATCACATCAAGATTAGTTTAGATTTTAATATAAAAAGCTAAAAATTCTTATAGGTGCCTTTCACTATGGGTTCCAATTTAGTTTTTATTTCTTTTCAAAACTAATATTTAGTAAATCAAAATGTTTCTAACCAAAAGTTAATGATTAATTACTTGAGATACAGATTTTTTCCTAATAAATATTTTTCTATACATGCTACACCTTGTTTGTTAATATATTCACTTAATTTCTCATTTACTATTAATCCATCATAGAATAATTTGACGTTTAATTATATATAAATCCTAAAACAAAAAAGACCAACATACATATAAATTGAAAGCAAGGATAACATATTAACCATTGAAATATTTTTATTAATATGTATAGAAGGCAGGTATTACATCCGAAAAGTGTTAAAAGAAAGAAGGTTATGATATTTTCATTCACTGTAATAGAAAAATAGAGGAAAAAAACTGTAATGGCTCAAATCTCAGTCAAAAGCTTGTTAGATATTAATGTTTCAGCTGAACTGGGAGAGCAAAAGAACCCAAAGCTAAATCTAATAACCTAATACTATGGTGGTAGCTGGTAAGAATTGGTTGTTACATATGGTACAGGATGTCTTTGCACCATAGAGATGCAATCATAATGCTTACAAACAGGGGTGCTATAACTCCATTCTATTTTCCTAATAGTTATTATGTATAAAAGTCCTGTAATCCACTTTCATACGCCCTAAAAGTTTATCATTTTATGAGGTGCTTAAGCCCATCACCTTCCCAACCAAGCTTGAGCATTTGATCGACCACTTTCAAGCTCAACTGCAAGAAGCAATAAGCAGCAAAAGTTACAAGGCAAATCGAGTACGCTTTACCAGAAAATTTGTAAGACGTATAATGTTCTGTTTAGCATTAATGATGGACTTAAGGAATAATATTTTGGATAATGCAGATTGTGCATCGCAAAGATTCACAGCTTTGACCTTCTATCAAGGAACGAAAATCTAATATAAATATAATTCCCTAATTTTATATTTATCTAATTTAAGAATAAATGAAAGTTGCACACCATTCAAAAGTTACACCCACATACTCACTAGTGCAATGTAGCAGAATCTGATTTGTGAGCATTTGGTCCAACAGGCATATAAAAATATCAAAATCTACCACGCTGCACAGGTGTAAATTGTGAGACTCCAAATATTGTGCATCTGAGATTATTCTTGTAAGTAACTAGATTGCAAGTGAAATATCATAACTTATCCTTTTAGTCATTTTACAGGAATCAGAAAAAAAAAAGAAAAAAATCATCCCCAGGACACACTGAATATTTTAAAACAGTAATTCACTTGTAAGGCATAAGAAATGATCGATATTTGACAACGATCCTTATCAAGAGTGATTTAACTTACAGCTGGATCTGTAAAGATAATCAATTGTTTATCCATAGTTGAAACCAATAGATTTGTGTTATCCTTATTTAGAGCAAGAGCTGTAATGTCCTGTCCTTCTCTCAGCCTCAATACATGAAATACCTACATAAGATTAGTAGAATGGTTAGCTTTGAAAAACAAACAGTCCGCAGGAGATGCATAGTAGGAAGGCAACCGAAATCATGAGATTTAAGAGAATCAGAATGCACTTCTTACTGGAAGTATTTTCTTATGCTGTGTGAAATGAGCAATATGCAGAAAATATCTATTGGAAAGTTAGTTTGCAGGCACAATTTGACAATAAGATCTGATTATTTTTTGACAGATCAATTTAAACATAATATTGTACCTGCAAAGTGTGCAAATCCAGGAAGCAAATTGATGGTGATGGAGCATTTATTCCGTCGCCATCGTGAGTTTCTTCTGATTCTGAATCAAAATCAACAGTACCTGACTTACTCGGTTGAAAATTCCAACTGTTTTTATAGGATCCACCATTTTCTTGAGAATTTATTCCAATCAAAGCACTCCTCCCGTCAACAGAAATTTCCATGCAACTAATGCTGCTAGAGAAAGATAATTCTGTTTTAGCAATCAGAACACCATTAAGAGTAAAGGTACTTAGAATATGCTTTGACTCATTCCAAGTCATGACAACCCCTTCAGAGGAAAGGCAGACAGTATGGGCCACCACACCATTCAGCCTTCTTATTAAACGTCCCTTTCTTATAGAGTGCAGGAGAACATCTGACGAGAGGGAGCATGAAACAACTATTCGAAGTTCTGAGCTGACACAACAACTGAGTATTTCACTGCGGTGCCCCCGAAGTACCTGTATAGGACCCTCAATACGACGTCTACGATTCTTTTCTATCAACAGATGCGATGAAGAACTACTGCTGGTTGAAGGCAGTGTGCCGGACCCAGTAGAGGACTCTGATACGACACTTGATTGAGATGCAAGGGCCCGATGTATTCTCCAGAGTATTACTATTGTATCTTGGGATCCTGTCACCAGGTAGTCACTATTGGGTGAAAGACCAACACAAGTTACAGGAGCACAGTGTGCAAAGGCTGTTTCCAAGGTTTTAGCACCATCTGAGGATATCAACCTAATACTATTATCAACATGCCCACCTAATCACAAGTCAGATTTTCAAGTTAGATGTGAAATACCCAGGCAGTATAAAAAGTAGCTACCATTCAATGAAGTGTAAGAGCTGAGAGGAGGAAAAAAATATAAATCAAATCAAATAAAAAAAGAACTATTTTCTAAGAAAGAGACTTCTCATGTTCAGCCTAAAGTTTATATGGTTTTGGATATTATAACCCATATGTTGAAGGGAAGTTCCAATCACAAAGATCAATCAAACTTAGTAAAACCCTGCATGATTGAAGTGTATATTTAAACATCTGGCTAAATTAAATATATAGGTTGCTACTATGATTGCTCTACATTGTTTTGCTACTTTTTCAATTAGTAAGTATTTTCTAGCAAATACCTGATGATGATGGAAATATTTTAATTTAATTTTTCATATCTAAATAATTTTATTCTACTTATTCTTGAATCCAAATGCTTTCCATAACAAGTTTTCTCTTCTACAGAACAAAATGGTAGTTAATGCACATAGCTGCGATGCTACATAAAATTTTGTCTTTTGTAAGAAATACTAGAACATAGGACGTACCAAATGCTATGTAGGTACTGTTAACATCCTGAAAGCCCCCCATGTAATCCCGTTGAGAAAAATTCCTTAAAATTTGTAAATTGTATTATCTAATAATTTTCAATATTTCCAGGCAAAATTATAAATCTACGCCAATGGTAATGTTTATTATTTTAATCTAACTTTCTTATATAAGAAGTTAATTACCGGTAATAATTTCTTCACATACTACTAGAGGCAGCATATCGTAACAATCCTAGCTTGTCTACATTTACCAGTAATAATTTCTTTGTCACATGTTATAGAAACAATTGCTTGGCTTCTAATTCCAGAAACAGCAAAAGCTAATGCTTGGGGATATTGGCCATCTTCACCAGACCCAGCAGGACCTTTGAACATTCGTTTAATAGTCCCACCAGCGGAGCCTGATGCTCTTCCATGTTGAAAGAGGAACGGTGTGCCGTGGCCATCAGGTGTATTTGGTTGCCACTTGTGCTGTGCAACATTAGCTGCTGGTGCATTCAAACCAACAACCACAACCATATCTGAAGACGCGTGCATGGCAGCCGCTGGTAGATTGCAGTGTTCAGGGGATGGAACAGCATATGGTTTGACTGCTTTTGGGTTGCGGAATATTGTCTGATATTTAAAGAAATATACGCATTATCATTATAATCACATGCACTTATCATTGATAGTTGAGGAAGCATAGAACGATAGAAGAGCAATTCAAAAACATTTCATCACAGGTTTTGAACAAATCTTTAAACAAAGGAGTATTTACATAAAATCTACAAATGAGCAACATAAACAATAATGAACAATAATAGTCAGAACTCAGAAGTACTCAAAACAAATAAATGGGTCTTTATTCCTGACTTGGTAGTGTCTAATCCAAGTTCTCTCTCTCTCTCTCTCTCTCTCTCTTTTTTCTTCTTTTTTCGTTCTGCTGATAGGGAGGGGAGGAGAGGGGTTCACAATATTCTTCAAAGATAGGACGAGAGATATTGATCTCAAGTACGAGTTTTTTTTTTTTTCCTCTCTTTTGACAAATGGAGCATTTGGCTGGAGGTTATTAATTACAATACTTTTGTCTCTTACTTAGATGATTTTTTATTTTAAAAAAAATTAAGAGTCGTGATTGAAAACATGACTTTCTCTCTCTATTATTTGTTTCGTCTTTAATTTTTTTTTAAAATGTACAATATTTTTAAAAATTAAAATAAATTATGTATAAAGCTATTTAAAAAATAAAAATATTATATTAAATATCAAAAATATTAACTTTAATGTTATAAATTAAATTAAATACACTATTATGTATAAATATTTAGATTTTATTAATAGTTAAAAAATTATGCGTTTAGGGCTTAGAAAATTTATTAATAGTAAAGCAAATAATTTTTTAAAATATTTATTTCAATTTTTAAAAATATTATAAAAATTAAAAAGGAAATAAAAAAGGGGAAGGGGGAGTCTTGATTGTAAACACGACTCCCATTTTATTGTATTTCTTTTGAGAAAAAAGAGTCATGTTATTAAACACAACTTTTAGGGATGATAATGAGTAGGTCTAGATAAGGTTCTATATTACCTATTTCCATACTTATGTTTAAAACAATACCCATAACCAAGTCTTATACATGCACAGGTAGCAATTTCAATCCTATACCCATACTTGCTGAATACTTGTGTGCCTATACCCGCATCCGCAACCTACATGTTATTTATGTATTCTTCGCAAATTAAACTACCAACATTCTTCGAATAATACAACACAACATATTCATACACTCTCTAGTTCTATTTCCATTACCTTTGTTGAAGTTGGAACAAAAAACTTTCCCAAAATAAAACAATATTTTTTTTTATTAGTAGGTAAAATAAAACATATATGAGAATAGTTAGGAACCTTTAATCTAACAATCTCTAATGTGGTGTTATATGAATTTATGATTGAAAGTCTTTCAACAATTAGCAGACCCAATGTGGTGTTGACATAAGGAGGTGAGGTGGTGACACGAGATAGTGATGCGAAGAAGGTGGTACAAGGATATGATAAGTAGTGGCGACTGAAGGTGAGGGTCACAAGGTAGATTACAAGTGGCGACACAATGGGTGGGTGAAGACACAAGATTACAAAAAGAAAAAAAGACTAAATAGAGATTCAATTATAATGTCATAATACACTTTAAAGAATGAAAGGTGAGAAAATTTCACGTTTGTTTCTACTGATTTACGAGGAAAGAAAAGCGAAGAAAAGAGGGAGAAGGGGCATTGGGCTTCTTCACATTTTTGCGAAGAAAAGAGATGAAAGTCACGTAAGATTTGAGAAAATTCCATAATACCCCTGTCCCATGCATGTGCCATACAACAAAGGAACGAAACATAATCGATTATGCTGGGGACATAATCGATTATGCAAGCCCATAATCGATTATGTGGCTCAGCATAATCGATTATGTGCTTGCATAATTGATTATGGTAGGCTGTTTTCGTTTCCAGGCAAAAGCAGAACGGCTCGTTCCAAAAATCAGTTTTATGAGCAATATGCGAAATCAGAACGACTCGTTCCAATTTGAGAACGGGCCGTTCTGAGTATCAATTTTTAGCATGAAAAATGACGCCAAAACGACCGTTCCGGAATCGAAACGGGCCGTTCTGGCCGCATTGATTTGTTAATAAATAAGAGTTTTCATATATATATATATATA